ATATAAAGGGTTACCCATTTTTTTCCATTCTTTTTGTCTCGTAAGTTCATTTTTTTTTATTTGTGTTTTTCATTAATCGGCCCCAATCCTGCTTCCCGATGTCATAAACAAGCGTGGTGAACAGACCAACAGTTGCTTTAGTGACCAGGTATCTATGCTGGTGATCATCTGACCAAGGGTTGGGCGGCTCTTGGACCCAGGAGGACGCGACCGCGACGTCACCATTGGTGCCGTAAACAAGGATCCGACCCTGGGCCAGGTATCTAACCGTCACAGTTGCTATATTAATTGGATAAAAGTGCTCAATATCAGAGATAGGGCGTGCGTAAATATCTTTCAACACTTAGAGGCGACAGCCTGTTTTATATATATATATATTATATATATATATATATATATATACCTATATATGGCGAAAATGATATTCGCCAATAATACACAGCTAAATTATGACCCATCTCTTACAGTTTTGACAAAATGAAATGCATCAGGACAGAATGGGATATAAATTCCAACACTTCTTCAAAGATTATTTATAATTATATATATATATGGTTATATATATATTCTCAGAGAGAGAGAAAAAGCGTGTTATACAGAGGAATTGTTGGAAAAGATGATCTTTGATAAAGGCAATTATTTGTGGTCAGGGGTTAAATACTGTTTTTCTCTTTCCTCATTGCTACCTTGGAATAGTCTCAGTTAAAAAGTTCAGCGTGCAGCATTAAACAAATATTAGTAAATTCGTTTCATTTGTATGGTCCCTGTTACTATGCATAATTTCTTATGTTACATAGATACTGAACGGCCGCTCGTCTAGGCGCTTTCGTACTAAGGCGGTTGTCACCCAGGGCTCCATTCTTGGTCGTAATCATTTTTTTTATTTTCATTGTGACCTTCCCGATGTCATCAACTCTCAAATTGGTATCTATGCTGATGATCTCTCTCAGCTTCTCCCCATTTCTCGCACTCCGCTTCTTCCTCTATCTCTCTCAGTTGCTTCATATCTCTCTCGCTCTTTCAGCTTCTCCCTATATATATATATATATATATATATATATATATATATATATATATATATATAACCTCTTCCCATATCTCCACACAGTTTCTTCCCATCTCTCAGCTTCTTCTATCTCTCTATCCCTTTCACTTCTCCTACATATATATATATATATATTCTGTCTCTTCTCGATCAGCATCTCATAACTTTCTCTCATTCTCAGAATCTTCCCATATCTTTCTCTCTCACTCTTTCTCACCTTTTTCAATTTCTCTCTCTCAACTTCTTCGTATCTCTGTCCCTATTTCAGTTTCTCCCTATATATATATATATATATATATATATGTGTGTTTCCTATTTTTCTCTCTCATATCTCTCTCTCAGCTTCTTCCTATCTCTATGCCTCTCAGCTTTTTCCTCTGTCTTTCTCAGCTTCTATTTCTCTCTGAGCTTCTTCCTCTCTCTATCATTTTCTTCCTTTATTTATCTCTGTCTCCTCTTCTCCCTATATATCTCTCACATCTTCCTATTTCTCTCTCTCAGATTTTTTTCCTATTTTTCTCTCTCTCTCTCTCTCTCAGTTTTTCCTATTTCTCTATCTCTCTCTCTCTCAATTTTCCTATTTTCTCTCTCTCTCTCTGTTTTTCTATTTTCTCTCTCTCTCTCTCTCAGTTTTTCCTATTTCTCTCTCTCTCTCTCTCAGTTTTTCCTATTCTCTCTCTCTCTCTCTCTCTCTCAGTTTTTCCTATTTCTCTCTCTCTCTCTCTCTCTCTCTCGGTTTTTCCTATTTCTCTCTCTCTCTCAGCTTCTTCTTTTCTCTTTCTCTCTCTCTCTCAGCTTCTTCTTTTCTCTTTCTCTCTCTCTCTCAGCTTCTTCTTTTCTCTTTCTCTCTCTCTCTCTTCTTCTTTTCTCTTTCTCTCTCTCTCTCAGCTTCTTTTTTCTCTCTCTCTCTCTCTCTCAGCTTCCTCCTTTCTCTCTCTCTCTCTCAGCTTCCTCCTTTCTCTCTCAGCTTCTTCCTTTCTCTCTCTCTCAGCTTCTTCCTTTTCTCTCTCTCTCTCTCAGCTTCTTCCTTTCTCTCTCGCTTCTTCCTTACTCTCTCTCTCTCTCTCAGCTTCTTCCTTTCTCTCTCTCAGCTTCTTCTTTCTCTCTCTCTCTGCTTCTTCCTTTCTCTCTCTCTCAGCTTCTTCCTTTTCTCTCTCTCAGCTTCTTCCTTTCTCTCTCTCTCCTTCTTCCTTTCTCTCTCTCTCAGCTTCTTCCTTTTCTCTCTCTCAACTTCTTCCTTTCTCTCTCTCTCAGCTTCTTCCTTTCTCTCTCTCAGCTTCTTCCTTTCTCTCTCTCTCAGCTTCTTCCTTTCTCTCTCTCTCAGCTTCTTCCTTTCTCTCTCTCTCAGCTTCTTCCTTTCTCTCTCTCTCTCTCAGCTTCTTCCTTTCTCTCTCTCTCTCTCAGCTTCTTCCTTTCTCTCTCTCTCTCTCAGCTTCTTCCTTTTCTCTCTCTCTCAGCTTCTTCCTTTCTCTCTCTCTCTCTCAGCTTCTTCATTTTCTCTCTCTCTCTCTCTCTCAGCTTCTTCCTTTCTCTCTCTCTCTCAGCTTCTTCCTTTCTCTCTCTCTCTCTCTCAGCTTCTTCCTTTTCTCTCTCTCTCTCAGCTTCTTCCTTTTCTCTCTCTCTCAGCTTCTCCATATATATATATATATATATATATATATATATATATATATCACTCAGCATCTTCCCATATCTCTCTCGGCTTCTGATCCCGCTCTCTCTCGGCTTATTCCTATTTTCTCTCTCTCTCTCTCTCTCTCTCTCTCTCTCTCCATATATATATATATATATCACTCTCAGCTTCTTCCTATACCGCTCTCAGCCTCTTTCTCGCTCTTTCAACTTGTCGTCATTTTCCCATCAATTCACATCTTTCTCTTTACATACGATGTCGGATGTTAATATATCATTCAGTTTCTTCACAATAAAATTCGTTTTAAATCATCGATGCTCGTAAAATTATGCTAACTAAATGCACCGTAATTTGTATTTATAAATGCAAAAGATATAGGCCACAGAATCGCATATTTCATTATCACGGCATCCCATATTCCTGCATAAATTACTTGGCATGAACTCTTGCTAGTCCGTATCTTAAAATTTTCCAAACTTATCTTCTGTTTCAGCTTTCGTATGACTTTTAACAGTTTTCATTTCTTGTCTTCTTTGCATGAATATTGTTGTCCATTCTCATATACGTTCCTTGTAAAGAGGAATGACACTGTTTGATTGGATTAATATCTGGAGATACTAGAAGAGACCGCTGACGGTGTTTCACTTAATCATGTGTTATTTTGAATCTTCTTTTCTACAGTTGGCCACTGGCCAGCTGTACAGAATATTATCTTACGGAAACATATTCTTTGGTTAAAACTTCCAGACTATGATCTGCATCACACAGAAAAAAAATCTTTTTATTCAAGAATAATAATAAAAATCTTTTGCATTTATCTTGCTACCATCAACAACCTTCAAGAGAACGATAGTTTCAATGCCTACATTAAAAGTTTGAAATATTACTCCAACCTCCGAAAAACTGTTGTCTTTTAATTCGTATTGGTTGATTATTTCCAAGAAGAAACGAAACTCTCGTTTAGCCATCGGGATGAGCTGTTGTTTGGAAACAAGAATAGGCCGACTGTGTCACAGAGCAGAGCGATAAACCCCCTAAAACCGGCCACTTGTTTGCAGTGCGAATATCTGTCTTTTCTACGCGCGTGCACACCACCAGACCAATGGGTCCGTCTTTATTCTTTACTCTCGTGCAAACCAGACCCATATCGACTTAACTACTTTACGAGAGAATTCAACGTTAAACGACCAGAAAAGCCTTGATAATCCGTATAACAAAGCAAATAATACCAGCCATAAAATTCATCCAATGTAGTTCTACATTCATCAACTTAAAATCAGTTTTCATATAGTCCTTTTAACAACCAAGGCGTTTCTATTTCTGATGTTTAGTCTTAGGTCGGGTCTTTAGCCAAAGTTCTTAATATTCTACACTAGTCGTTTATGTACCACGTGTGATACACGTTTAGGCAATCATGTATCTTTTGATACATGACTGACGAGACAGATTTTTTCCTCCAGTAGGTTGCCATTTCTTCCTGCGGTGGAACAGTTGCTATCCAAGGCTATAGAACTAGGTTTGTCCTGTTATTTACCCATAGCTGAGGGTGAGTGTTGTGGTAGGATCGACCTAATTTGCATAGTGGAGTACCGACTATATAAATATGGTTGGTACCGGGAAGAGAGTAGGAGGAATCAAGAGATTCAATCCAGAGACTCTGCCCGACTGCGACTAAGTCAACACATTCTCCAGGAACGGTCTTCCCAGGAATATACAAAAGACTATATGTAAATATTGTGTACACTTTCTTGTTTCAATACATTTTGTTCTAAGTACATTTTGTGTTGTATTATTATTCCATGCATTAGTCAAGTTTCAACAGTGAGAAAAAGAGGATTCATACCTTCCCCAGGGGCATTAACACGTAATTTATCTATATTTAAATCTGCAACACCAGCTTTTACAAAATATTTTCTTACGGCGCAATGAACATATATATATATATATATATATATATATATATATATATAATATGCGTGGGTGTAGTGTAGGCAGAACGTCATGACGCCTAACATAAACGCGAAATTATTAAAATTTGCCCCTTTTGAAGATGGGCAGATTTTCGTAAAGAAAATGCTCAATATCAAACAACAACAGGGAATATAAAGAAATTTTCAAAAGTTGTATCGTACTAAGATATACCAGGTGCACTCCAGTTGTTTTAAGACTTTGTCAGGGGAGACATTTATTAGTTTCAAAGAAGTACAAAACTCTAATCTCCTTCAAAGTAGGAATCTCTGATTTCAATACATTTGTTGCAGTGCTCAAGCCACGTCGTGAAGACCTAATGAAATGCATCCAAAGTGAAGCTGCCCAGGACTCTTATCACAGCTTCCTCCATTTTTTTCGATGTCTTCAAAACGACTATCTCTGGGATTCTCCCTCAGTTTGGGAATGTGTCAAAAGTTCAATGGAGCAAGGTCCAGACTGTAAAGAGGGTGAGGGGAAGTGTTGAGACGGATCTCCATCAACATAAAAATTTATTGCCTAACGAGCTTACAAACTGTCTTCACTTCCTGACCGCATTCAGCAAACAACTCAGCTGAGACAAGTAATGTTCAGTAGGGTATGTTCAAAGAGCTGTTCCAGCCATCTCTTTCAATCGGGGATAACAGAACGTGGCAGGTCAGCTTATAACATGTCTAAATATGATATATTAAAATTACAATAATCTAGAACAGTTATCAACCTCTCCTAAAAAAAAAAGTCTTAAAAAATCTGGAATTCACTTAGTAAGATTAATATTTTTATAATGGCATAATTATAGAAGGAAATAAAATGAATTCAATTCAATAAATTTATCTTAGCTTGATGTCAGTGAATCTGAAAACAAGATATCTACCCCGAGATAACTATTGATTTAATTTTCCTTATATATATATTAATAATAATAATGGACTCTCCCGTCGGTTTCGACGTATGAGGATCTGACAGCTTATTGATTCAGTTACGAAATTTTGTGCGATAATCTTAAGTAGCATTTAAGACCCGCAAGTGATTTACAAAGGAGGCCACACATGGAGCAAGTGTGAGGATTGCGAGATGAGATCACTGTTACATTGGCTGACCTTTTTTTATATCTTGCTCTCGCTTCTGGAAGATGATTCAGACAAGCAGATTGAAAATTACTGAGTCCACTAAAACAAGTGGATCTCTATTCTACCCGCTCCAAATATATATATATATATATATATATATATAGTTAGGTAATGAAAAGTTTAATATTTTAATAAAAATAAATTTTAAATTATTCCTGTCTCTCCCTTCCTTCTTTCATTCCGACAATATCTGTCGTCCTCCTCCCCATTCTCTCTCTCTCTCTCACCTTACATCTGATTAAAACTACGCCTCAAAAGTGTATAAAAATAATACGTTTAATAATTTAAAAACATTTTGTATGCTTGGAAATGTGATCTGAAGAACCAGGAAAAAATCACTTTCCTGTTGAAATAAAATATAATCAATGGAGCCTTAACGTTGTCTGTTTTCTAATTAAATTAATATATATATATATATATATATATATATATATAATGCCAGTTTCAATTTTATTTTTTTACAGTATAATTCACCCTGTACAAAACCCGGGGGGCACTTGAATTCGAAGGTTACGTTAAGGGGTACATTGTATGGATAAGACAACTGTTAACTATAGACTTAAACAGGTTAAGATTATAGTGATCGTGGGAGAACCTCTTGGGAATCTGTTCCACAGAGCAGTGGTTCAAGGGAAGAAGTTGTTTGAATGAAACTTACTTCTCACCTATGGAATACAGGGGTGGGGATATACGTGGTTTGATACTATTTACTTAGTATGGCGGTTCCTAGCCGCAATGGTTAGACCTGGCGTAACCAAGGAATGTAGGTCATCCGAGCACTTTCCATGGATGTAGCGATAGCTTAGTGACAGGCTGGCTATTTTGCGCCTGTACAAGAGAGGTTGAAATGTGGAAAATAATTCTTCTCCAACAAGGACTCTGAGGCGCTTTTTAACTCTAGCAAGACGGTAAAGTGAGGTCTGGACAGCTCTTACTCAAATATGTCAACAGTACTCTATTTTGAACCTGATCTGGCTCTCATAAATGTACAAGCTATCATGTTTTGAGATATATACATACAAATACACACACACATATATATATACATAATATATATATATGTGTGTGTGTGTGTGTATATATATATATATATATATATATATATATATATATATATATATATATATATATACAGAGAGAGATTTATCTTTATAAATAAATCTAGAATATTTTTCTGCTCTGTTTAAAAATTTAATATATATGCGTGTGTATATCTATATATATATATCTATATATATATGTGTGTGTGTCAGTTTGAATATATATATGTTTGTGCGTGTGTCAGTTTACAGGGTGCGATGGATGAATTGTCGTCTACACTCGGTAAAATGATTAAGAATAATGATCGCAATAATTATTATAATCTCTGGAGAGCTTTGGATTTTCATCTCATTCCTACTGACGTACAGTAGTTCCACTGCACAAGCAATCTTGTCCCGGCCAAATCTACGATATTAACATTCGTCAATTTCCCGAGCAAGCAAACCGAATAATCCATTATTCGATTGACAAAATTCCCTTTTCGCTCGCAAAATTGACAATCGTTACGCTAGTCGAATAATAAAAAATATAAAAATAGTAAAAATATTGAGCACTTCAAAGAAAAAGAAAAAATATTAACAACAAAAGAAAGTCCCAAGATTGGCAAAAAATAAAGTAAGAAAAATGAATGCCTAAAAAAAAAAAAAAAATCGCAAAATATTTTCCAAGAAGCCATAACCACAAAAATTGTTATTCTGTGTCGGCCATGTTGTTTTTGGTTGTCCATGTTGTTTGGATGTGTTCTGTGTCTTATTGCTGGTATTGAAGCGATTTTTTTTTTATCTAATTTGTTTTATTTCCTTATTTATTCATTTCTTTTGTTTTCGATTTATCGCATTTGGTCCTGAATGCAAAGTAATTCTGTGGTGTTAGGAGTATTACGTGTCCTCTATTTATTTATAGCGATTTCATTGTTATCGCCTTTGTTCACTTTCCCCATTTCCGGTCCGATAGCAGGACATGTGTGATTACTCATGCATATTTCTACAATAATATGTGTGTGCCTAGAAATAAGTAAGCGGAGCTTGCGTATTTTCTGTCCATGTAAGCTATGAAAATCATAAAATATGTATGATAATTTGTGTAAGTAATGTACTTGTCTTTGAATCATTTTTTTTCATTTGGCTACT